AATGTGTGTGTAGTAGAGTGCTGTATGAATGTGTGTGTAGTAGAGTGTTGTATGAATGTGTGTGTAGTAGAGTGCTGTATTAATGTTTATGTAGTAAAGTGATGTATGAATGTGTGTTTAGTAGAGTGCTGTATTAATGTTTATGTAGTAAAGTGATGTATGAATGTGTGTGTAGTAGAGTGATGTAAGAATGTGTGTGTAGTAGAGTGCTGGTTGAATGTGTGATTGGAAGTAAATGAGGGCACAGTTTGTGTTGTAAAGCACTTTGAGTACATTGATTAGATAGAAAGGAGCTGTATCAGTACAGTTCTATTTTGTATAGGCTTTGTCCTTTAAGACCTTCGCTAGTAGGTTTATCCCTATACGCTCAGCACTGCACTGAAAAAACTTTAGTCCACGCCCACCTGCTGTGTGTGGGCCTCACCCCCGGTCCATATAAATTATGATGAGACCGGGTAATCAGCTCTCATTTTTTCTTCAGCCAGCAGCTAACTGTCAGAAGAACGAAGAGGGAAAAGATTTCCAGCTTTGACCGGTACAACCTTTGCTAAGGATGCCTGGGTCTCTGCCACGCCAACCACCTGCCGTTCCGGTGAGCTCCTCCTCCCCGAGGAGAAGCAGACGAACAGCCTTGTTCAAGATAAGCACCGAGGAGTGCTTTTCCTTGGCGGGCCGCTACCCTCTGGACGACGACATCGCCTTTTCTAACGTGTTTTTTCCTCGCGGTAATCGAATGATTTCCTCGAAAAAGGCGATGTTAACAGCAGCCCCACTGAATTTTTTTTTCCGTGACGGGCCGTTACCCGCTAGATGACACCACAGCCTTTTCTAACATGTTTTGTCCTCGAGGTAAACGAATGATTTCCTCAAGAAGGCAATGTTAGCAGCAGCGCCGCTGAATGTTTTCTGTGGAGGGCCGCTACTCGCTGGACGACGCCACCACCGTTTCTAACGTGTTTTTTTCTCCAGGTAAATCGGATGATTCGCTCAAAAAGGCGTTGGCAGCAGCTCTACTGAATTTTTTTTTCTGTGGCCGGACGCTGTGCGCAGGACGACACCACCGCCTTCTTTGACGCAGAGTCACGCAGTGAGTGTCCTCTCAGCACTGCCTGGCATAATCCAGGAGGATGTTAACACAAAAGATTTTCCATCCCTCGCCTCCCTCCTCCCTGATCGGATGATCTGGCGGCAAGATTGGCTCTGCCCCGACTCGTCGCCCTGACCCCACCTGGCCTCGCTGTCCAGCTGTGACGTCAAACTGGAACGAGGCTGCAGCTGGGCCGGCAAGCTGAAGACATCTGTCTCCACCTTCGCCTCCATTTAAAACTAGGCTTAAGACTTTCCTTTTTGCTAAATCCTATAGTTAGGGTTGGCTTGGGTTTCCTAATCTGTCCCTTAGTTATGTTGCTATAGGCTTAGACTGCTGGAGGACAAACTGACCACAATTTTCACTCTACTACTGTCTTTACTTACTCTGCTCAACCTGTTTTGTATTTGTAATTATTTTTTCCATTATTAACGTGTTTTTTTTTTTTTTTTGTCTTTCAGATACACCTGGACCTATACCTGGACATACCATTCTGTGTTCGTCTGTCTCTCCTTTCTGTCCTCCCAACCAGCCGGTCAAAGCAGATGGCCACTTGTCCTGAGCCTGGTTCTGCTGGAGGTTTCTTCCTTTAAAAGGGAGTTTTCCTTTCCACTGTTGCCACTGTGCTTGTTCAGGATTGGAGACTGCAACTAAGCCAAGATTCAACTTTTCTGCTGGATTCCTTAGATAGAGAAATTTACTAATTGGCTTTTATGTATGTGAATGTTCCTGTAAAGTGCCCTGAGACAACTTTGTTGTGATTTGGCGCTATATAAATAAACTGAATTGAATTGAAACTGAATTGAATCTCTAGAGTGGAGGGTTTTACCGATCTGTGTTTTTTCCCTCAGTCGGTAACACAGACCATGGACCGGGTCTGGGAGGAAGTACCGTCAGTCATCCTCGTAGCTCCTGAACTGATTTGCACTCCATGGTTCCTGAATCTGCAGTGACTGATATCGGGTTGGCTGTGGAACCTGCTGGGGGGGTGGGGGGGTCTCCTGCAGGCAGGAATAGCGATCAGGATTTACCCAGAAATAGGTCAGCATCTTTGGGTCTTTCCGCTGAACAGATCCATTTAGAAAAGATGGACCTCCCACAGGATGTGGTGCGTACGTTCAGGGTGCACGAGCTGCTTCCACCACAACGCTGCACATATCAAGTGGACAGTTTTTTTCAGCGCTGGTGCACAGAGAAAGGTGTGGAGGCCATTTCATGGCCACTAGGTGGCATGCTGTTCTTTCTGTAGCAGCTGATGGACAGAGATCTGGCGTTCAGCACAATTAAAACTTATGCTGCAGGTATTTCTTCTTGTCACAAGGGCTTTGGTGACAAAACAGTTCTTAATCACCCCTTTATGAAGCCTTTCCTGAAAGGTGTACGGAGACACAGACCGGTGTCACGTCCACTAGCTTCACAGTAAGACCTAACGATGGTCCTGCACGCTCTGATCAAAGCTCATTCTGAGTTTTTAGATCAGGTTTTATTTAAATTTCTGTCATTTAAAACAGCCCTGCTGTTAGTTCTGACATCGGCAAAAGAGAGTGAGTGTTTGTTTGCTCTTTCTGTTACTCCCTCATGTCTCAAAATTCAAGCTGATGGCAGTTCAGCTGTACTTCGTTTTAATCCTGTTCTGAAACGCATCACGAGCTCATTCAGATCGAGAGTGATAACCTTGGATGGGTTCTATTTTGTATAGGCTTCGCCCTTTAAGAGCTGTCGCTGGTGGGTTTATCCCGTCATGCAAAGCATTGCACTGAAAAATTTAGTCCATGCCCACCTGTTGTGTGGGCCCCACTCGGTCCATATAAATTACATTAAGAGCGGGTAATCAGCTCCCATTTTTTTTCAGCAAGCTAATAGCACTGAGCTTCAACAATGCGATGTCCAGCACCAACAACATCCGCCTGAGTCCGTCCAGCAAGACTGGCTACATGCTGAGTTTTGACCAACACGACATTTGCGAAGGATGCCTGGGTCCCTGTCATGCCGACCTCGCCTCCTCCTGCCACCACTGTGACCTCCTCCCCCAGGAGGAGAGGCAGAGGCGAGCAGCCTTGTTCAAGGCTAATGTCAAGGAATGCCTCACCGGGGCAGGGGACTGTTCGCTGGACGATGCCATTGACTTTTTCAACGACGACTCTCGGAGCGAATCGGATGGTTCCTCCGGGACAGGAGATGTCAGCAGCAGCCCCGCTGCTCACTCCCTCCTGGAGAGTGTAGTGTCGGAATGAGTGGGGGCGAGCGGATGCTCACCCCCCCGGGCCTTCCCGCATCAACGACCACACCACTCCCAGCTAGGGCTGAGTACCGAACCGAGGTTCTTTTATGGCACCGACCGAACTGCACCGGTCGGTGTATGTATTGAAACGTCACTCTTCTTTCTGTGTCAAATTTCAGTATTGGCTGTAACGTGTCACGTGGTTTCAGCATGCTGGCTCGTAAAACACCAGACATATGACAAACAGACTACACCCAGATTATATCCAGAGCAGTGTAGAGCAGCCGTACCTAATCTATGTATAATTATGTCTATGGTGTTGGTGACGCCCACAGACGGGTTCACGTGTGCAGCGCGTGTTGTCGAAGCCGTTCGACAACACGTAGGCGGAGGGAGGCCACCCTCTCATTTACCGGGGTGAACCCCAACACACAGGCACCAAGTTGGGGGGCAATAAGTATGCCCATTCCTGCTTGGCGCCTCTCACCAGGGGCAACTCCAGAGAGGAAGAGTATCCAGCCCCTCTCAAGGAAACTGGTTCCAGAGCCAGAGCCATGCGTAGAGGTGAGTCCGACTATTTCTAGCCGGAACCTCTCTGTCTCACACACCAGCTCAGGCTCCTTCCCCACCGGTGAGGTGACATTCCACGTCCCAATAGCTAGCTTCTGTAGCCGAGGATCAGACCGCCAGGGTCCCCGCCCTCGGCC